TTTTTTTTTTTTTTTTGCGCTAAAGCAAAGTTCGTCAATGTGTGTTTGCGGAACTGTGTTTCTCGTACCGAATGTGATTTTATTTTAGTAAATTAATTCTATATAAATATTGGCAATGTGTGGCGCGCAGAGAGAAAGAGAGAGTGCGAGGAGGTTTTTGAAGAGAGATGGATCTCTTTAAAAAAAATGAGCCGTTCTTTAGTTTGTTTAATTTTTTTTCTCGACGGTCTTGTCGCGGTTCACACGACGTTCTCCACTATCGATAAGGCCAATTAACGATTTATTTACTTACCCTTTGTATTTCGACAATAAAAAAAAAAAAACTCTAGAGTTCTAGACCGTAGTCGCGGCTCGCGCACGTTGTTCTTTTTTTTTTTTCTTTTTTTTTACTATATACGTAGATAGCTTACGAAGTCGCGACAGACACGGAAGTTGGGATTGTACCAACATGTACGTACGAGTGCGTTTATGATTTCAGACAAATATTTATCTATCGTGCGTTTGATTGACCGATCAGAGTCATCGATTGCTTGACGATGCGAGTAGCCGTTCGCGCACATCCACACACACACACACACACACACACACATACACGCATGTGTGCAAAGTGTTCTAACAGTTTATAGCGGAGTATGTATTGTCAGAATAATGTGCGTCAGGATAATTCTTTGTACATGCTATGTATTTAGCTCTTATCTCTAGAGGGTGACCAGATAGCTCCTAAGCGATTTTTAAGAAGTAAGTAATGTAATTTTTATTATACGCTAGTTTCTGTGTTCTCTTACCTTCCTGTTGTGTGTTTTGAACGAGCGCTTTCGTCGAAAATTAATTTTAGTTATCGTGAATTTCACGATTATATTGAAAGTCGATTGATTTTATTTATTGCTCCCGTCTCTAATTCTCTCGCTGGCGTTTTGCGTGTACATCTCCACAAAGCGAACAAATGTGTATTTTGGTAAAATAATAAATTTCCTGAACACACCTCCCAATTGCTACGTGTACTTACACAAATGTAGGATATTAAAAAGAAAGAAAAAGACAAAAAAACCACGATTCTTTCTGTACGCATTGAGTTTTATCCTTTGAGTTATCTTCGACTTGTTTTTATTATTTATTTCTCGTGTAGCTTATCGTAAATCTCCTTTGTAAGAGAAAAATACAGAGCTTGAAAAAGTCCACAAAGTCTATAAGCGTAATGTAAGTTCCGCGCGTCTCTTTGTAAAAAAAAAAAAAAAACAAACCGAATACATGATGTAAAGCGACATATTTTTTATCGAGGAGGATAAGCTCTGTTAACATGTAAAACTTCAAGTATCTCTGTAATAAGAGATTATTTATATATAACGTTATATATGTATATATATATACATATATATATATATATATGTATATATATATATATATATATATATATATAATGTACACCATGTATGTGTATGATTAACTGAATCCGTGTTTTTTTTTGTCCCTAGAATTTTCTAGATGTGTAATACGTTGGATGTGTAAAGTGAGATAGCGAGCGTCAACAAAGTTAACGCGACAGTGTAATTTAAAAGTGTGGAACAAACCCATAGAAAAGGAGGAAAGTAAAAAAAAACAAAAAAAAAACAAAATATATATATATACATACGAAGAAATTATATAAATAATTATTTGTATATTTATTTCGTTTTACATTGAATACAATAGTAGGCACTTGTATGTAAGGTATTGTTGTAATTCATTTTTCACCTAAAGAGTACAATATACCTACTTACATACATAATAAATATTAACGACGATTATATTGATATTGATTCGTATCAATACGGGCGTGTGTGTAAATGTACAAAAAAACAAAAGTCCTCGAAATACGCTGTGAGAAGCCTGCGAATACTCAATATCCTTTCTACTTTCCTGTTGTTGATCCGATGGAATTGTCTCTCGCTTGCAATTTACGTATAAATTTACTTCTATTTTTTTTTTNTTTTTTTTTTTTTTTTTTTTATATATCTGCGTCTCTTTTTATCTTATTCGCGTCTATTTTGCCGGCTTACAAATCTCGGCAGTAGAAAAATGACTTAAAAAAATGTAAAATCGTGGTACGTATCGGAGATTAATATTACCAAGGTTGCCTTTCTCAGATCGACTGCGATTGGTTTTTGTTTGTGTCACACATGTACGTGTGTGACATTTATAACAATATTATGTGTATAATATTTAAAAATAATATCGATATGTATAAATGCTAATAATCAACGAAACGTGTAATGTTTAAAAGATTTATGTGAAACTATACAAACTTAAAGAAAAATGTGCAGACATATATACATATATATATATATATAAATATAAAATTTAAAAAACTTAATTATATACCCGAATAAAACGAGAAAAGTAAAAAAATAAACGTAATATGAAACAAATGCGAAATTAACATAAAAAAAAGAGAATACAATCGTAAATTAATTTTCTCTTTGATTTTCGAAAAAAATGTGTAGACGTTGATTTGTCGTTTTTAATCCAGTCAATCAAAGGCGTCTTCTCTAACTCTTTCTCTCTCTATGTTTGCGCTCAACGCAAACTTTGCAAGTATAAAATATGATCTTCGAAAAAGGCATTAAGTACTTGAATTTCACTATCTCTTTTTTGATACTTCGCATTATTTACATAAAGAGTGATTTACCACGCACATACATTTACATACGTATGGAATATGCATGTTTGTATTTCTCGCAATGAAATAACAATTAGTAATAAAAAAAAAAAAAAGAGTCGTATCACCGCAGACATATTTGCGTGTACAAAATGTTTATCTTAAAGTACATATACATGTATATATTCATATATATAATTTTTTTTTTTTTTTTTTAACTTACGCAGAGGCACCTCTTCTTTTTGGTCTTCCTTGTACTTGTAGCACCAATCTAATGGAAGGAACATCATCGTATAGAACCCTTGCAAAATTGCAGATATATATATATATATATATACGGTCTTGACCCGGAGAAAGGCCAGACTTTTCTGGCAGCCAAGAAAAATGTGAGTATCACGAAAAACATAGTATCGCGAGAACCGCGCTATAATCTATAATTCATTATTTGCTCTTTCTGGGCAACCGTATGTCTTTCTGTTCATCGGAGTTTGTTGTGTGTGTGTGTGTATATATATATATATATATATATATATGTATACAACGAGTATAAAAAATTATGTGAATCTTTTTCTCGTATTATCTATAAACGTTTAAGTACAATTCTCAAGGATCAAGCATCTGATACAAAAGTTACGTAATAATACTGCGGTGTTTTGCGCCGATATCAAGAGCGAGCTTTTTTTTTTCTCCTTGCTCTTGTCAGAGATTACGCTTGGCTCATTTTTCTACGTGAGAAAAGCTCGCGCTGCATTGGCAACGACATTGGCGTGTTGTTGTGTGTAACATCGAAGTGGCAGCGTGGAGAAATAAACTTGCGCCAGCCAAAAAAGACCAGCTAGATGAGACAGTGCAACTTGCAGTAAAAACGATTATTAATTCATTAATCTCCCGTCGCGAAAGTTTCTTCGCCGGGGAGGAGCTCTTGGCGCCTTTTCTTCTTCGTGGCATTCCTCGAACGCGCGAAATTCTTCCTAACTAAAATGTTTAGCACCAAGTGAAAACTTTCGAAAGTTTTGAAATCCCGAAAATCCGAGATTACGATTTTCGCGCACATATATATATATATATATATTCCTTCGTCGGAGATTTATTTTATTTATTTCTCTATCTCTCTCGTCGTGTATATTTCTGAGAATCTTCTCTTATATAATCCTTAGACTCTTATCTCGTCCTTACACCATATTCTCCTACACTACATTCGTATGGAAATTCTATTTCTGCAATTTGTCAGAATCTCAATTCTTAAATTCCGATCGTTCTAAATATTTTGCATGTATCTTGTAAACGCAATTACAGCACCTAAATCTCGTCTCGCGTGTTTTCCGCTTTTTTATTTTCAAGTCTCTTCCAGACTTCTCGAATTCTTACTCGTATATTATCTACATTTTCATTTATCTATCGACAATTCTCGATATTGTTAAAACTCATTCGATCCCGATTTATAATATATAGATGCTGTATTCGGGATTTTCGAATTTATGTATTTACTCGTCTTTTTTTTTTCTTCGCTTAATTTCTTTCGATGATAATTTTCCCGGAGTTGCTCGAGGAGACGATCCGCGAAAACCGACGGGATTCTCGCGGAAACGGGGCCGTCCGTCGCGATGACCATCACCCTGACGCACAACGATTGAATAATTAACACCGCGGACGCATCAGAACGTCGTGGACGAGCGACTGTTATAGCTCTCACGAGCGACGTTGGTCAGCGCGTCCGCCATCGCCTTGCCAGTCTCCAGCACCATGCTCTTCAGATAGCCTGTTTCCTTCTGCAGCAACACGTGGGGATGATCGAATTCCTGCGGCAACGATAAAAATCCGTCTCTCGATGAGAAAGCTCGCGATTTTATCCATCCATTCTCGTTACGCGAGAACCGTATCTCTTTCCGGTGATGCATGTAGTTCGAGTGCACACGACGCGATCGGCTCGATAAAACATTTAAACACGAGACACACCGGGTGTGATAAAACCATGGTATAAACAATATTTATACGAAAAAACCCACTGACAGCCTTTTTATATATTGCGGAACGGAATATCCAAACAAACGATCAAGAATAGACGATAAAATATCATTTCGCGCGTAAAATGTGGATTGCAAGAAAAAAAAAAAATATATTCAAATGTATTCAAATACATGTAACTGTTTCTTTACATAATCCGCGGAAATGCGTAAACAGAGAAGTGTCATGATTATTCAACGTTTGCGTTCCTGTCCGTGAGCGTTCACGGATCCGTTATTCAGCGAATGATCTATTCTCTCTACGCAAAGTAAGCAAAAAAGAAAACAAACTTACCACCGCACTACCGGCGTCCATCACCAGGATGCGATCGCTGTCCATAACGGTGTTGAGTCGATGAGCAATCGTCAGAACCGTGCACTTCTCGAATTTACGTCTGATTGTCGTCTGAATCAACTCGTCTGTTCGCGGATCCACATTGGCGGTTGCTTCGTCCAGCACGAGTATCGGGTTGTTCCTGACGATGGCGCGCGCCAGACAGACCAGCTGTCGCTGACCGACGCTAAGATTGGAACCGCCCTCGTTGATGTGCGATTCCAGACCCATCTCCTTCATCTCGACCTCCTCGAGCGCTTGCCACAACAGGTGATCGGTGTAAGAGTCGAACGGATCGAGGTTACGTCTGAGAGTTCCGGAGAACAGGAATGGCTCTTGCGGGATGATGCTAATCTTAGATCGCAGATCGTGCAAACCGATCTCGTTGGTGTTGACGCCGTCGATCTCGATCGCGCCTTCCATCTCGGCCAGACGGAAGAGAGCCTGGATTAATGACGATTTACCGGCGCCGGTTCTACCGACGATGCCGATTTTTTCGCGCGGAAAGATGACGAAACTAAGATTCTTGAGTACCGGCGGCTCCGTTGGCGCGTAACGCAGAAACACGCTCTTGAACTCGATCTTACCCTCCTCCGGCCACTCGTTCTTGGGCTTCTTCTCGGGGGTACTTTCCAGGGGAGGCTCGCTCTCTACTTTGCTGGAAGAGAATTTAAAGCGTATTGGAGAATTGTCAGGGAAATCAGTTACAAACATATCTAGTGTTATAAAATTTATCTTCTCTACCTGTACTCGAGAATACGTTCCACTGAAGTCATTTGGTTCTCCAGCTCGGCGCTTTGTCGCATGCCCCACTGGAACATACCGGTTATACCCAATGTTTGAGTGATCGCCAGGCCAACGTATCCGCCGTCCATCGAGCCGCGTCCGTAGTTGTTCAGCACCAAGAAGCTCATTGTGACAAGCACGATGTATAATACGCAGAAAATATCCAACCAAAAACCGAAGGCGCGCGAAGACGCGATAAAGATAAACCAAGCGGACGAATGGAGATCCTGATGACGATCGAATTCCTTTGTTAAGATTTCTTCCGCCTCGAATGCACGGATCGTCGGTAATCCTTGCAGAGTCGCGCTCAGATGAGCGAAGACCGGCGAGCGAGCTGGAAAAAGTTAAAAAACCTCATTATTTTCATGGAATTTTTACAAAAAAAAATTAATTTTACAAAAAAACCAAGGCTGAGATACTTACTGATGCCCTCGAGACGTTTGACGCTGCGACTGGTGGCCAAGTAAAACACTCTTAGATAATAAAAAACGATGCCGATGATTACCGTGGGGATTAACAACCACACGTTGGCGATGGCGACCACGACGATGATGCCGAGCAACGACAAACCGATTTGAATGCAGTCGATAAGCGCGGTAGGCAGAATCTCGTCAACCGCGCCCATGTCCTTGGAGAAGCGATTGAGAACGCGACCGGACGTGTTGGTATTGAAGAAACGCATCGTAGCGCGACTGATGCTACGGAACATGCGATCGTGCAGCCGCATGGAGGCGCGCATGCAAGTCCCGAAGAAGGTGAACGAGCGAATCAGAGTCACGCCGATCGTCAACGCAGTCAGCCCGGTGAAGATGTAGATGCATTGGTCGCGAGTCAGGGGACTTCTCGAATCTACCACAATACCGTCGTCCGTTTGATTCACCTGGAAGATTATAATTGAAAAAGTTACTCAAAAAGAATAACGATCTACCGTTGCATTTCAAAGCAAAGCGTTCCAGACGCTTACATAATGTTCTTCTATTTCGACCCATCGCGCAATGAAGAAATCGCCACCGCTGGCCGCTAATTGCGTCAATATGCAAAGCATGGAAACCATAAATATCACACAACAATTGCCACCGGCACTGAAGTAACCTCCGTACACTTTGCCGGAAACATTGCCCTTCGACCGCATCTCAGCCAACTAAAATTAAACAATTAACATCAACAATTCGGCATTAGAAATTTATTTTTATTGATTAATAATATTGAACAAACAATAGAGAGATCAAAGATAAAAGATATAAACATATAGATTGTTTTCCACATTACCTCTTCGGGTTCTTCCTTCGAAGTGTCATTTGTCATGAAGGAACTCAGCGACGTGATACTGCCGGTGCGCGAATTGCTTCGACTAACAGGAACCGACGAAGGAGCTTTCTCTTCCGTTTCCTTTTTATTCTCCAACAATCGACCGAAGTCTACGCCCATGGAACCCAACTCTTCATAAGTGCTAACGAATCAGAAAACACTTGTTATTGGCGAGAAAAGTGCTATCAGTGCAACATATATTGAACGTTTTTTTTTTTTTTTATTTTATAAACGATATATTTAACGTGAAAATTATAATTGGAATTCGTACCCTTCGGCTTGGATGGCACCGTCTTTCAGAACGATAATTCTGCCGACGTTGCTCAAATACTGCAACTGATGAGTCACGAGAATCCGAGTCTTGCCGCGCAAATATCTGTCGATGCACTCGTCAAACATGTGTTTGCCCACATGAGCGTCCACGGCGCTTAAGGGATCGTCCAAGAGGTATATGTCGGCTTCGGCGTAAACGGCTCTCGCCAAGTTTATTCTAGCAATTATCAAGCGCCTTATCAATATTTATACAGAACCAACAGTCGCGCCGTCTACGTGCGACTATTATTTACGTGAAGTTAAAAAATACTCAAGAGGAGATTAAACTCACCTCGCACGTTGACCACCGGAAAGGCTGATACCTCGATCGCCCACAATGGTTTTATCTGCGTTAGGTAGCAAGCTGAAGTCCCTCTTCAATTGACATACCTTGACCACGCGATCGTAACGGCTCTGGTCCATTTTTCGACCGAACAGGATATTTTGCCTCACCGATCCTGCGAACAGCCACGGCTCTTGACTAGCATAAGCAATTTTGCCGTTAACCTGCGATATTTTTTACAGATACATTAAAACAAAAAGTACACAAACAAAAGAAGTACAAATTTATTTCTTAATCAAGACTGACCTGGGCGGAACCTTCCTGCAGACGCAGCTCCTTCAGAATAACGTTTAGCAAGCTGCTCTTACCCGCACCGACCTGACCAACGATGGCGATCAGTTCGCCCGGGCGTACCTTCATCGTGATGTTCTGCAGAGTGTCTTCTCGCTCGTGCTCCAGCCACTTGGTGGTGCCGTTCTCGATTGAAATGCAATAATCAATGCAATTCGTCTGCTGCGCAATCTTATCATCGCCCTTGCTCTCACCAGCAACTGATTCCTCCTTTGCGATTTTGTTCGCGTTCTCATTTGGATTCTCTTTGTTATTCTCCCACGAATTTTCCTTGTTCTCTTTCACTTTCTTTTCAGCATTCGATTTGCTGTATTTATCAGCGTTGCTGTTTTGTTTCACGGTCTCTGTTTCGGGAGGCGTCATTTCGTCGTACATCATGAATTTCTGCAGTCGTCTTATGGACACCATCGCCTCTGCCACTTGTGTTATTCCTGAATTACAGAACAAAACAAAAACCGTACAAAAGTCAAACAAAAACAATTCAGATATAATTACAAGTGGCGTAACAAGGAAGTAGTTAGTTTGCTAAGAAGTTTATATACTAGGAAGCGCGCAGTTTAAAGAAATATATTTTTAAGAGAAAAAAAATAACCAAGGGAGAAGGAAATAAAAGAAGACAAGCGGAGAAAGAGAGAAATAAAAGAGATAAAAGAAGTAAAGAAGTCGTGTCACGTGCTGCAAGCGTGTGCGCGCAATCTTGTTCGTGTGTATTATGTCACGCGCAGTGGTGCGTAAATAAAATACCAGCCTTGCGGGAAGAAAACCGTCATCGTTGTGCGGAGAACGTTGTAGAAGGCGGTTATCATGAACACCTTTTCGGCGGTGATCGTGAAGCCGGACAGCACGTAAACCAGAATTGTGATGAACAGCGACAGCCTCGTGGTGAAGATGATAAACGACATGGTGACCCCTCTGATGTAGGACGTTCCTCGGATAACGTTGACTTCCTTCCTGCGAACACACAAACGCCCGTTCGTAACAATCGCTCATCTCCTTCTCTACGTTTTCTTCTTCCGAATTCCATTTACTTTTTTTTTTTTTTTTTTTTTTGAATTCTAACGAAAACAAATTGCCACATCTGGCTCAATGAGGCGCGCAAAAGCATCAGGTGGCTTGGCAATGTGAAATATGCGTTTTCGTCTGTGCGTTTCTTGAATAAACATGCGTCACTCGCGAATCAATTTATTTGTTAGCCCCAAACGGCACAAATAAATGAATTACCGTTGGGGCGATCGGTGAACATATATAATTTATTCTTGATAAAAAAAAAAAAAAAAACTGCTTAAATTTAATGTATTACATTTTGGCATAATTGAATATAAATATATTATGTAAATTGAATATATAATTGTGAATATAAAGACGATAAGAAAAAAAAAGATATTTACGCTTTAAATAAGCTAATGTATTTAAAGTGCAAACAGAGAAAATATGTATGGTAAAAAAAAAAAAAAAAGCAGAGATCTCTCGATAATATACCGCATCATACTTTTTAACACTTAGAAACACAAGACAAAAACGTACAGAAATACGATAAGAACAAGGCCGTCAATTATCACTTTTAATATTGGCAGGTTTCAGTTAAGCATCAAAGCGCAGGACACACGTGCAGAGACTCGATGACTGTAGCGATGAAGTTAGCTTTTCGCACGCAAAAATAATACGTAACCACCACACAATTCGCGGCACGTAAATTGATTACTCACCTTCTTGCTTTTTCTATGAGGTTGCTAAACGGATTCTCCCAGGTGTACATCTTAATGGCTTGGATCCCGCTGATAATTTCGTTCGTCAATCTCACTCTCTCGTCGGTTCTAATGGCAGTTCTCAATCGCAATTCCGACGACTTTTTGCCCAACCATCCTGAGAAATTTTACGGATTATAATACAAGAGATAACGAATCAGAAATATATTTTTTTTTGGGGGGGGAAAGGGATACTTTATTCAATAATTAAAAGAGTCACGATTTGTTCAAATAAACCAACCACTTTCAAAAAATATTAAAACCGAAAAGAGTTTAATTTTCAGACGCACAATTCGGGATAATATTTCTTACCTTGCAGGGGAATGAACAAGAGCAGAGACGCGACTCCGACGATGACGGACAGTTCGTTTTCGAGCACCTCGTACATAAAGTAAGAAATGACGATTGTCTCGAGCGGTCCGAGCCAGAGATAATGCAGAAATATAATGCTGATATCGAAGCGATTGACGTCGTTAGACAGCAGATTTACCGCCTGGCCGATTGTCGTCTCGCCCAGAGCGGTTCTCGTCAACCGCAACGCCTTCCGATAGATAAGCGAGCAACAGGCGACACGAATCTTCATTCCCATGTGCAGGATCGCCATCATATACGGATGGATGACGAAGACGTTGATCGCGGAGCACAAGACTATGCAAGCGGCATACAAATACGCTTGCGTCTCGTCAACATCCGTCGAGCTGTAGTAGCGCAGCAGCTTGCCCAAAAATATCGGTTGTAACACTCTAAGTCAACGTCAAAAAACATTTTGAGGAAATTTGTAAAGTAAAAAATTCGGCGAATAAACATTTGTAAAAGAAAACAATTCGACAAGATTTAGAAATATCGACAAAAAAAATGAATGAAAACTTGAAATATATTTTTTATAAAAAGTGAAGTGAACTGCTCCAAGAAATATTCGAGAACTTCAGTTGCGACACCATGTAGTAAGCTATCGTTGTTTTACCATACTATTATACTTATTTGTGAGCTGTACATCAAACTCAACTTATAATCACTAAAAAACATTGATAAGGACCAAAACTAAGGTCGAAAACGTTTTGTTACAATTAATAAAGTAATTTACTTCACACACACTAATAACTGTGTTTGCTCCATACGGCCAATATTTTTTGAATTCTCGAATATTTTTTATAGACGCGACGAGTGCAAAAAAAAATGCCGGTCTCTCAAGTTTCTGTGTGTTTCTCGACCGATTTTAAAATTAGGAAGCAGGTAACAGTTTTGAAGGCTGTTTTCACAGAACGTTTCTCAAGCGCAAATTTGTTTTTTTTTTTTTATACCTGAACATGATTTCCGTGAAGGCCAGGACGATTCCGTACAACATGACTTTGACACCGAAGCACTTAACGAGGACTCTCATCAGGCTGGGTTTTCGTATCTCCTTCCGGGATCCTCTCCGCTCGCTCTCTTCCAGCCGGCGATTGTAAGCCTCGCATTCTTTCTGCCAGGCTTCCGCGATCTTAACACCAAGAATACCACTTGTATGCTCTTTAAGCGGTGTGTATAAATCAGTTACTTCAAGATCCCTGTGGTAACCCACCCAGAATGTGGGAAGGATCCAACTGCGAAGAACAAAAGCAGAGCACGCACGTTTTACTTTCGCACAAATTCGCGCGTTTCGTCCACTGTGTGTGTGTGTGTGTGTGTGTGTATGAACTAGGTAAATTTTTATCTTTCTTTAACCGAGTCTCTCTTTCCGTTCTCGGAGCGTGCAACGTTACAGAGAATCGCAGTATCGCGAAAAAAACTATGTCGCAATCCGAAGTCTCGGAATTCACATTGCACAGTCTTCGTTGCACTTTTCGCCGATAAGAATTCAAGAAATTCGAGTTAACTCGAATTAACAAAGTGACTCGAACTCGAGTTCCGTTTTGATGGTTTTTGTCACTTGAGGATAAAAAAAAAAAATCAAGGATGCGTAACCACATCAGCGGAAGTGTGAACACGCAAGTAGTAAAAAACAATTAAAAGAACGTTTCTTTCGATTAAAAAAAAAAAAAAAAAAAAAAAAAAATATATAGTACAAGGTGATTTTCGGTTATTTACGTCGGGGACTTATCAGCAAGTGAACCCGAAGTTAATCCGCATAACTGGCTTATCGCGTATATGAAAGATCTTATTTACTATAAATAAGATAATCCCGCGCACGAAAAACAGGAAACAAAACGGCATTGTATACACATATATATGTATATGTATATTCTTATCAACCTGTTTACCTGTTTATTGCAATTTTCACAATGACTACTGTAAAAAAAAAAAAAAAAAAAAAATCCAGACCTCCCGTGAAGGTGTAATTTACTCGAAGCGTGAGATAACGCTGTTATTCCTGGGATTATTATGATTCAGCCTTTTGTACAGATTGAGATTTGACCGCGGAAAAGACTTTAACCACGTGAAAACGGCGAGTCGAACAAAATGCAAAATGCAATCAAATCACGTTTACAGACAATTTGTATAATTTATTTACTTCTCAAATGACAAACTCGGACAAATGAAAAACCAGATTTCAGAAACGAGTGAATAAGCCCCAAACATTATCTTGACTTCTGGTAAAAAAAACTGAATATAAAAATATTCGATCAAACAATTAAGTAACATAATTGAAGACATAAGAAGAATTTGATGTTCATTTTTTTAATTTTTTGTTTTTGATGTTATTTTGTTAACTGGAAAATGGAGTATTTTAATTATTCAAAGCGAGAGAGAAAAATTATTAATAGATTCCGAGATATAAGTATTTTTTTTTTTTATAAAACATGTAACAGAGAAATACATATACGTTTTGAACTTTAAAATCGCGCTCTCTAAAATTACGAAAATGTGACTTCAAGTTCTTTTCTTGTGGTCTTCAATTGCATTTCAAAACTATATATATATATATATATATATAGTTACAAATTTCGACATGGTTTTTGTTTCACATTATCTGAGCGCGATACAAAGTCTTCAAAAATTAATTTGAACGATGTAGATAATATGTAGATAGATTTGGACAATATGTAGATAGAAAAATATGCAATCTATATGTACACAGATAGTTGTCTTCGTTTTTTTTTATTTTTATTTTTTTTTTTAATATACTTACGAAAACGTCAACGCGCTAAGAATATTAGCGTTCGCTCTTGGATTTTTCACTTTTTCCTTGTACACTTTTCCATCCATGATAACGGCACTGTCTCGCTCGAGCCTCTTCTGTAAAATGTAATGATTCTTATACGTACACGTACACATATACGCGCCACTTATGTAAACATATTTCTAGATACGTAGCGATTAGATAATTTCGATGAGCGTGTAAAAAAGAAAAAAAAATAAATACATAAGCTACCAAGGAATAATAAAATGTAAAGTGTGACTGTCTCTCTTATCGCGGAATAAGAACAATAACGAGTGTCGCTAAAAAAACTACTTGCACGAAAAAATACTTGATCGAGAAAAACAATCAAAGATACAAGTACTTTCTCTCTCGTGACGTAAATTCTGCGTAAACAATAGTGATTTCGGATTATGTTGCAATTGCTCTTCTTTAATCCTGTTTATCTTTGTCTTTTCGGGAGTTTCAAACATTTCACGAGCATTTCGTTCGTATCTTATCTTCATTCACGCGGTGATCAAATAACGAATGGTTACGGTTACTGCTGCGTTACGTTATCTGCGAAACGTGCGCGTTTCTACAAGTCCAATAATCGATGCTGAATAATGTTCGCGCGTAGACGCGCGCATTTCGCATTATTACGCACTGTTACATTACAAAAGCAAACGACAGCTCGATAACGATCACGCGATCACTTTCTTTCGACGCTTCTGTCATCACTTTAATTAACCTTTTTTTTTTTTTTTTTTTTTATCTCAACTTCTCTTCAATTTCTTCTGTATCGATAGTCCTTCGAAGTACGTCTCCGCGAAAGATTTTTCAGTGATCAATGCTCTCTTTCGCTCTTTTATCGTGTTAGTATCTTGTAGCTTTCAACCGCAAAAAAGAAACTTTCAGTCGAACTCTGATTTTTCCATTTTATTTTGATCCGTTTATTCATTCGTATACACAAAGTGTCTTTTATTTTTAATTTGTCTCAGATAGATATCTCAACAAATATAAGAGAACGATATGGAAAAAAAAAAAAAACGTTTGAGATAAAAATCTGACATGCAAAGCTTAACATGCCAAATTTGAAGCTTATCTCGGGAATGACTTGTGCAAAAGACACAAGTAGGTAATGTTTTGACAACGTTTCAGCTACATTAATTATGCAACAAAAAACTACAGGTTCTCGTTAAAGAATTTAAAAGTCAGTATTACATGTTTCTCTTTGGTATCTTATAACTTTTAGTCTGACATTTTTTTTTTTTTTTCATATTTTTCGAGATATTTGTCTGAGCCAATTGAAACGGGACACCGTGTATATAATATATAAGTCTATACGTTTATATTTATATTCATCTCTTTTTTTATACAGTGATTAAATCTAATTATCTGATCAGTGACTTACATTTAATTAATTTTGGATTCATTTCTGATCACGTATACTGTTAAGTAAAAAGAGCACGTGTTATCAATTGAAATTGTCGTCGAAAATGACGAACAGATGTGTGTGTTTAGCGCGCTAAATGTATGTGCATTGCAACAATTCCCCTCTTTGCTCGATAAGAAAACAGATGTTAAAATATCAATCGTTCGTTGTTGCACATGAAATCTATAGACGTGAATTAAAGTAAAAATTTTGGTAAATATTGACAATAACGGATCATCTTCCGATCAAGTTGAGCTTCACATATATGTTGTCAAGGACATTGTCCTGAGTAACATGCAAAAACTTTTAGCCGTCGCTCGTTGTTTATAAAAAAGTTATAGACAAAAAGAGTTTAATAAATAAATTTTTTTTTCAACATTATATATATTTTCTTCATGTTGTAAGTGTGTAGGCAGGGAGGAGCTACGCCCCTCCCCCTGCTCCACCCTCGAGAAAAAATAAAAAATTATTTTTTGTTATTAAGTTCTCTAACACATTTGTATAAGTCAGCTCAGGGGGGCGCAGCCCCCCCCCCTGCCTACACGCTTACAACGTGAAGAAAATGTCCGTGTCGAAAAAAAATTTATTTGTGAAACTTTTTTTATAAACAATGAGCGACGGCTAAAACCTTTTGCATGTCACTCAGGACAATGTCCTTGACAACATATGTGAAGCTCAAGTAGATCGGAGGTTGACCTGGTATTATCAATATTAATAACTTTTTAATAAACAACGAGCGACGGCTAAAATTTTTTGCATGTTACTCAGGACAATGTCCTTGATAACATATATGAAGCTCAAGTTGATCGGAAGGTGATCCGTTATTGTCAATATTTACCAAAATTTTATTACAAAGCAACCACATGCAAATGTTTCAAATCATTTTTTTTTTTTTTTCAATATATTTCATAATTATTGAACGTAAAAACATATACATTAAACGCGTAACGTACATAAATAATACATGATCGGTAGTGTAATCAATTCAATGAATTATTCACCTAGGTATAGGCGATACTCATCAAACATTGTGTTTAAATGTACACACCAAAGCTAAACCGTGTTAAAACACTTTCTGCGATATGTGCAATTATTGAACTAAAATCAACTGTCACATTGTTACCGCAATTTCGATTAACATCTACAAATCAATCTCAACTATTTTTCGTAACGTTTTATTGTATTCGTAAAGAGTTTCAAAGTCGTTTTTCTTAAAACAAAAATCATCAAGAGATCTCTCGTGTAAAAATATTACATACTACATTTTCGATTTATTTTGTTACATCGAGAATTGTCTGTTTGTTTGTGTGTACAATTTTCCGACAATTCTGTGAGAAGCTTATTTATATTCAAGTGATAAGATTTACCAAACTTTATTGCTCATGTAGTGCAGATTGTACACATGCGCGGATTGTGAAAAATTTAATCTGTTATCTCCTTTGGATGCTGAAAAGCATCCGGAGGAGATAAGTTTAAAAGACCGTAAGACGAATTTAATCCGCCCTCGGTGAACAACGAGTTACTTAATATTAAATAATTAACAGAAGGGAGATAATATAACTTCATTTCGAAAGATTCATTAGTGAAAGCTTCAATAAATAACACGACAATCAATAATTGTATGATTAATATAACTGTAGTAAGTATATTAATTGTATTCATTAATATCATTAATCTTTTATCGCTCATTTCGAGCGATAAGCGCACGCAAAAAAATACACGTACTATCAAACGCTAATAAGCGATACAATGTCAATCCACATCGCTATTTTGAGTAAATTACGCCTTAAGATTGAAAAAAAAAAAAAAGATGTTTGTATATAATTTTTTTAAGATGTTTGTGTATTTTTGATTATATAGAAACATTTAAGTTTTTAAGAACACACTATTGAAAAACATTCTTTGACAGCTAAAGAAACTACTACATAAATATCTCAGTATTTCAGTTTTTGTGGGTTGACACTGTATTGCTTATTAGCGCTCAATTATAAAGTATCTGATACTAGTTTATTTTATTTGATTTACATAAAAAGTATTCGATTACATTGTACGGACACAATTTTGTGTCGCACGTCCGACATTTTTATGTCTTAATATATTCTGAACACGCATTAAAATTTGAGAGTTTTACTATTTTGACTGTTTCATCGCTACCATCTGTGCATTAATTGGTGTGATTATTAGCGCATCTCGAGATACGTTATCAGAATATTGTCGGGTGACAATTAATTGTGGATATTGTAAGACACGTCAACTTAGACGATTCACGGGGGAATTAATCAAACAATTACAGATAAAAAAAAGAGATAAGAAAACAAGTTAATAGAGCTTCTTTTTTTATTCTCTTCTTGTGCGCAAGAACAAACGAGTGATACTTTCGATTTTAATATATTTTGCAGTCAATCGAAAAGAAAAAAACTTCTTTCCTTACGAATAGAATTTATTTCCCGCTTATTTTTAATTATTGTTATAAATATTAAATAAATATTATCTTCTTAACAATAATGCGGCACTAAAGAGATTCTCTTATCTCGAAAGGAGAGAATATCGACCTCTCCGAAGAATATTCCTAATAAAAACGTCAATTGTCAGTCTGAAGTTCGGCGGCAAAGAAAGAATTATTAACGAATGATTGACAACAATCATCTTAATTGACAAGATTGTGGCTGCGTTCCGATATTCACTGTCAGTACCGGAAAAATCTATATCACATGTGACGTAAATTGTAGATTTTTCGCTACTGGCAGTGAATATCGAAACGTATAGCCATCTTCTTTAATATCTCTTTTATTACTTAATTTACTGTGCGCGAAAGTTCACGCGAAAAGTGATGTGACAAAATCGGTTGGACGTTGCGAAATATCATTTCCTTAATTTGTCTCTCGTTGTGCGAAGCTCTCGCGATACATTAGTCGATTAAAATTATCCATTGTCATGTCGCAACAACGACCGATAAGGACTATAATTTAAGTGGATCATCGTGTTGTACTAACGCAACGCATCTCTTCTCCATTGCGTTGATAAAGATAGTGTTATTGATCTATTCGGCACGCCTCTCGCCGCTTTTCACTTAATGAAAACCATCATCAATTATATAAATTGATCTGGGAAAAGAAGAGCGCGCGAGCGCAAATGAATATATTTTCAAAACAGATCGTAATAATCTAATTTTCCCGTATGGGATCAAAGCAATACAACTTGCTTACGCATTCCAAGTGATTTCGGTAAAACTGAACACCTTATTGTGAAAAATTTTGCTTTTCCGCGCGCAGTTTTTTCAAAGACGAGAGAAGCTTTAACATTCACGTCAACTCGGTTTTTTTCGTCTTTCGCGTTGCTCTTATTTTCGTGTTATCTCTTATGTTATCTGGATTTCCATAACGCGGTGTAATGTCTGCATCGTTAAAATAAGACGGAGACTTACACACACACACACACCACATACCACACACACACACACGCTTCCGTTCGTACTTTAACGCGCCACCGAGACCTCGATATCTCCGTAAGGCATTTAAATCGCAGAGAATTCACAGAAGGCAGCAGCAATTCCAAGAGCCTTCCAATCCTCGCACAGCTCCGCGCGCGCGCGCGCGCGCACATACACACACGCACACAATGCGTGTATTTCGCATTGTCAGTGTCACATAAAAAAAAGCAAAGTGTGTGTGTGTGTACATCCGT